GAGCAATGTGATACATCATAAAAAATCATCAATCCAAAATTCATAATTACAACATAATTTCACATCAATTTAACCAACACCACATTCATGCACGTTAACATTCCAATTTTAACTAAACATAGTACAATTTATCAAAAAATCCCTATAGACATCAATCAAAGCATAAATAAGTAAAAAAAATATAACAATAGAGTTGGAGTAAAAATCATTGATTTAAAGGTTGTTCCTAAAGTTAAGATTTTTACATAATGTACTAACTACATAAAAAAACAGTATTGTAAAATATCATAATAGATCTTCGATGTCACAAACAAACAAAGATTGAGCTATTTTAAGTTAGATACATAATAGACTAAAGAGACACGTGCAACTCAAAACAATATTTTTAACTAAAAAAGGAGCAAAAAAAAAACNATAAGAGATAAAATGATTTATCTAACATGTTTTTAAAAAGTTAAATTTTGTGAACATTATTTCAATTAATAAGATATTATATAGATTTTGTATGAAATAAAATAGTTATAACATATGTACAAATTGAATTGGATTCCATAAATATAGAATAATATTTGTACCGTATGATACCTGAATTCACCAACTATCGACGAGTAACCCGAACGATCGTTTGTCGAGCCTTCTTACGATCGTAATGTCACGATCGTAGGAATGTCTAACACTTCTTAACGCCAATCGTCTGTCGATGTCGACACATTGGTGATCGACAAGCAAACAGTGATATCGCGACATATAACACTCACAGGTTTGTGTCGATACACCAGGCGTTCGACAATCAATGAGCGATTCCTAATTTAGCGGTTAGTAGTAAACGATTACAAATATCAGTCAATGCCACGAATCACGGGAATAACTGACCCAGTATCGAACACGATCTAACAAGTTACAACTTTAAAGTAGTCAACGCCAGTAACTAACCGGATTTTTAGGTAAACGGTTTATTTTACTGTTTTAAATATGAAAAACACAGAGGGAAAAAAGGTACGTTTTTTCCTTAAGAGAAATTAAGAGAGAAAAGATTAATTTTCTTCTTCACTTTGAATTGGAAAGGTTCAATAGATCCTTTTCTAACTTGAGCGTCGGAGTGCCTTTGCAGGTACCCAGCCCATTTTCCCCTCGGAGAGCTTGGCACAGAAAGGGAGATAGCACGATAACGACATCATAGGAAGAAGCGGTTGCAATTCGCTAGGTTCGTATCTTGGTCTCAACGTTCATACTGAAACAATATCTAAATTGAGTTCTTAATTAATATTTTTTTAGAATGTGATTTAACTTTTGAATTGAGAATTTCAAAGTAAATAAGTGAGTTGGATAAGACTATCAAATGAAAAAGTCTTTCCATAGATGAAAGAGTGGAAAGAAAAACGTTAATAATTTTGAAACGATTTTTAAGAAAAGTGTTGCAAAAGAGGTTGAATTCAAAATGGAGGCTGAAATATTTTATTTTAAACCTTTGAAAATCACTAAAGGGAAACTAACTTGTCTTTGTCATTTGTTTGGTCGTGATTTAAATTTATGTTGTTTTGAAGATATGAAATGTGTTTGTTGTTAAGTTTGAGAGAAGTGAAGATAATTATGATTTCTTTTGAGTAATGATATATTTTTGTTATTTGATGATAAAAAAATGGTGTTTTGAGTGGTGTAGATATTGAAAGTTTAAATTTTTAAATTATTATTCTAAAGTTGTAACTTTCAAAAATGTGTTTATATGATGTTGCATTTACCTTGTTTTAGTGTTTATATGATGTTGAAAATGTGTTCTTTATTTGTTTTTATCGGATTTTAAAGGTGAAGTATGAAGCTTTAAAAAAATGAAACTATTACTCATTGGTGAGAAACCTTCGAGTTTTGAGAATAAACATAGAAAAATCAAAGTGCAAATGACTCTTCTTATGATAGGATACTATATTTAAAAGATTCCTGAATCATAAATAAACATTAAACAAATTCAGTTATTTAAATGTAAACAAGTATTGTGCAGTATAAATATTAAATAATAAATGGTTATAATAACTTATTATCATAATTTGTTATATTTTTAATATATTATTTATAAAATACTGTGAAATATTTTAAAGATATATACTGTTAATATCATATAATATAGTAATTTATTATCATATTCTATCATATATTCAAATAGTTAATATCTAACATAATATAATTTCAAAAAAATAACATGTTCTTTTTTCATAAAAAGCATAAATATAAGTTTAAAATGTATTGGATGACTAAATTGAGCAATGTGATACATCATAAAAAATCATCAATCCAAAATTCATAATTACAGCATAATTTCACATCAATTTAACCAACACCACATTCATGCACGTTAACATTCCAATTTTAACTAAACATAGTACAATTTATCAAAAAATCCCTATAGACATCAATCAAAGCATAAATAAGTAAAAAAAATATAACAATAGAGTTGGAGTAAAAATCATTGATTTAAAGGTTGTTCCTAAAGTTATGATTTTTACATAATGTTCTAACTACGTAAAAAAACAGTATTGTAAAATATCATAATAGATCTTCGATGTCACAAACAAACAAAGATTGAGCTATTTTAAGTTAGATACATAATAGACTAAAGAGACACGTGCAACTCAAAACAATATTTTTAACTAAAAAAGGAGCAAAAAAAAAGTAAACATATTTAAATTATGGATAATTGAATGTATAGAATTTTCTTTTAGAATCATTATCTTGTTTATGATTTTCAAAATGGAAAAATAAAGTCAAAGCTATCAAAAGAAAACATTGATAAATAAGTTTTAAGGGAACAAAATTGAGAGATTGTAGTTTTTATATAGTAATAAAAGTTGGTATATCAAATTCTATAGAAAAAAACATTATGCATTAAAATTCAATTTTTATGCCGGCCGGCTAATAAAAAGATAAACCAACTTTTATACGGATAAAATGAATGTAAATGCTTCATATTTTGTTTTGAGAATATAACGTTAAACCGTTTGAAAACTTTACAAAATACGTCAAAATTGACATGGATTCCTGCAATACGTAGAAATTGATTATAGGGAAGAAAAAAAATTGTGTTCATTATATAATTTGAAAACACTCGTAAATTGGGCAAGTTTGTGTTTATTATAATTTTTAATTATATAATTTATATGGATTAATTATAATTTACAGTTTATTAAACTTTAAATATATGAAATAATTTTGACTTAAATGATAATTTGATTTTTATTAATCTTAACTTAAATGGTAATTTGATTTTTACATTTAGATTTTTATTACTTTTGGTTCTTATGAGTGTTTTTTATTCAATTGAGTTATAATATGTGTTAAATAGGATGATATATTTCTTTACATTTGTATTAAAAAATGATCACATATAAGTATAATGAACTACTTAACTAATAATTTGATTTATATGTTTAAGTTTATGGTTTATTTTTATTCTTATGTATTTTTTATTTAATTGAGTCATTATATTATTTAAATAAAGCTCATTTGGTTCCTTGTACGAAATTATCTTTAAATTTGATGTGATTATGTGTAATTTCAAATCATTTTATTCATTTTCAACCTTTTTTTATCTACATAATCTTATTGACATAGTCTTTTTCGAATATAAGATTTTCATTTTTATGTATTATATGTTGAAGATAGACACATTAATATAATTATGATTTTTAAATTCAGGATTAATGGATAATGACTAAAAAAACCCGTATTATCTTCATATAAAGATATAAAGATTCAATTAACTCATAAGAAAAATATAGAAAATAAATTATTAATTAATTAATTAATTTTTTCATTAAAAACTACTCACCTTTAATAAAAGAGATTACATAAACTCTATTTAACCATCCATGTGACTCAATTAAGTTAAAATCAAATGTAGGACCAAAAGATATAAAAAATATAAATATATAATTAAATAATTATTGTTTCAATGTAAAGTATTTATCATGTTAAAATAAATAATCAGTATAAGCGAAAAATAATAATATACTTTTATAAAATGGTGATGAGATATTAACATGTAACTACAAAATATAATTTTAAAAGTTTAACAAATAATTCTTAGAATTATATTTTTTTTTCTAACACATATTTGGCAATATAAAATAAGAAATGTTAAAGTATTTACTCTTATATTTAGAGATATAAATACTGACAATTTTGTATGCGAAAAGGAATCCTGAAAACAAAGTGACACAAACCATTGCTTGAGGAGTAGAAAAAGAAAGCAAGATAAAAAGAAGACCGTGTGTGCGGCGGTGTTCTTGGCCGGAATATTCCCTGCTGACGAACAGAACTTGCCACATTTGTAAATATACACCTTCATCTCCCGTTCATGCATAAGTGTATAACCAACACTCGCACAACCACCTGTTGTGTAATTTTCGAAATTGCTCTGCAATTCGATTTACTCAACTGATGGGATCAGAAGGGTTTCTCAGTTTGACGAGATGATGGTAAGTGACTCACTCGTTATCCATTTTTGAATTATTTTTATTCTATACTTGTTTGGCATTCTTCAGATTATCATGCCATTCATTGTTAACATGACTTGTCTGCATCGCTCCATGCTTTCGAGAGAAAAAAAAAAGAACATTTAATGGATTGGAGTAGCTAGGTATAGGTTTAGGTACGCCATATGTACATGTTGGAGGTTCTCGCTCTTTGAGTAGTTCCATGGCACCTAATGGGGTTTCATTCTATCACATAGGCACTACTTTTGTTTTAAATAGCAATTACTCCCTGTGTTGCCTGTTAACTGTTTAGTAGGGGCTTAATACTTCAGCAATAGATACGATATATATATGAGAATTGAGGTGGTTGCCATCTCCAACTACCCATTTTATGCATGCCACATCGGTTGAGTTGTTGTCTTTTAGGTAAAGTACATCAATTTCAGCCTCAACTCTTAAAACTTTTTCATGGTGTTTGGTGTTTTGCTTTTATAGACGTTAATCGTTGCGGGATTTTTATCCAGTTAACTTTGTTGTGCCACATGTTGCAAATATGAAATTGAATTTTCCCCTGGAAATGAATTTCTAGACACTCAACTGTGTAAGAATTCTAGTCAGCTTCGCAGTCTTGAGGGCAAGGAGTTGTCTGAAAATGTGCCTAGTGGAAAGGACAAAAGTTGTCCTGAAGTCGAAGAAGCTATGTCATTACAACAAATAACAACAAAAGTAAGCCGGAGTGGTAGTTCGTGTTCAAAGAGACCAAGGATGTCTAAATCAGAAAAGTTCTCAAGCCTGAATAAACTAGAGGAGTCAAGAGATGCTTCTGAAAGGCTTGGATCAGACCACATAAAGAGTATTTCTCCTAGTATTTTCTGTCCCCGAAAGCAGACGTTATTTTCTTCATATATATATTTTCACAACCTTTTCCCTTAATTTTGTTTTGGTACAGAGAAAAGTCAATTTCCAAAGCAAAAGAGCCATTCTACCAAGTGTGGAGAGAAAAGGAACATCAAGGTGGCTTCTTCTACGGCTAAGTGCGGTTCTTCTTTGAAATCAGGTGCCACAATCTTTGTTTCTGCTTATGGAGGGAAAAACTTGTTTGGTATGTAACTATAAGTCTATTGTACTCTTCATTTTATTTGCATAGAATTACTTTTTGATGTGATTATTTGCAGTCTTGGGTTCACTGTGGTTGTGCGTGAGTGTATCGTTATGCGTGTTACCTAAGGTCATGACTCTTAACCTGTTATCAATCTGGTTAGGTGTTTCTAACGTAAGTTATGTCGGAACTCTATTCACCCATCCCTAGCTTCCTAGTTAACTATTGTGCTATATGTTGATGTACTAAAATATTCTCTTTAAGACCTAAGTACATAATATATCTAAGTCTTTATTTAGTCTTAATGTTGTGATGGTGATGCTATGGAAGCCAGAAACTTATTTCATAACCACATGTGTTTAGTCTCAGTTAAATGATTGCGTAAGATAAATGTAGGAACTTGATAATGTTTCTTGTAACATGTTTGTTTGAAGAAAAAACATGCTATATTATATTATCATTCTTGAAATGAATTTCATTGTGGTTATATTTATATTACTTTGAAGCCATTTTATCAATATTCAGTTCTTTATACTTCTAGAAATTTAATGTGTTATTATTTTATTTTATTTAAATTATTGCTCTCATTTTTAAGTCAACCAAATTTACTATATGAGCATTTCAAAATAATAGCCCCCCTAATAAATATGATTTTGGATCAGTTACCAGTAATATTTGCCATCTATTAGTATCCAGCCCAAATGCTGTTATACATGAACAAAGTACTATATTATTGGTATGAATTCTGATCAAACATCCTATAAGTTTTGGCCATATACTCTTGGTTCCATGGATATAAATATCTAGTCTAAGTTTCTTTACCAATAAGAAAGGATCCACTGGAAGATGGTCAGATTAAGAGAAAGGTAGGAGAAGACCAAAGAGAACTCTCAGAGAAACCATTATAACACAATAACAATTATCCATTTAGCGAGCACCGTCTAATTGGATAAGGTTTTGTTGTTATTTCTATAAGCTTCTCTATCAGAATGCTTTCTGGTTTTTATGATATATAGCTGCCATTACTGAATTAAGATTACGTATTTCTAAACTAGAAATTTTGGAAATTCTTGTCAGGGTTATATGGTCTGAAGCATGATATTCATGATGTGACAAAACTTATGGATGTGCCATCGTTGGATGGACTACTTAGGGGAACTTTTGACTGCCTTAGTTTGAGTGAAGATGTAAGGAAGAAGACATCAAATACAAGTGGAAGTATTTTTGATTCAGTTAGAAAGGCTTGCTCTCTCCTTCAGTTACCAAAGTCTGTCCAATCCAAAAATATGGATGACATTGATAGTTCCTTATACAAGATGTCTGATAGCCAAATGAGTTTATTTAGTGCTGTAGAAAGCAATGGTATCAAGGATAAAGAGCAGTCTTGCACATCAGACATGTCTGCATGCCACAAGGTTAGTACTTAATAGTTATTATTCAGTAGATTCATTTTATTTTCAAGTTGTAGCTTATAGGAGTGGTATGAATTATAATGGACTACCTCATGCGCATAAAAGCTGTATCTATAACTTTTTTTGGTTGGTCTTGTTCTTTAGTTCTCAAGCAAATTTACCTTCAGTGATAGCAAATGTAAAACTATATAATGGTAATGTTATTTATACTCTGTAGTACTTGACATCCAGGATCTTTGTACTGAAAACAAAAATTCCTCTAGTCTACTTGACTTTCCATTATATCAACCGAAGGATGTCTTGGAACGGATTGCAGTCCCTCGATCCCAGGACTTGGATTCTCTGTTCCCTGATGAGTCCAAGCCTGTTGTTCCAAAAAAGAATAGTAATAATCTACGTTCTGGCAAGCAGGTATCTGATCAACCAAGCTTGCCAACTTTCCCATGGTCACATGCTTTTGGAAGCCATTCTAGAACTAATTCAGACATAGTTAAGTTATCAACAAGTAGAAGCACGTGTCAAGGTAAATGGGCACGGATAGATTTAATTGCTAACTCTACTGATATCAGTCGTGGTTGTTTTACAAACCTTGATTCATTCAGTTATGATCAGAGCCTTGTTCCTTCAACCAGTAGTTCAAGCCATAAAGATTGCCCATCTTTATTTGCTATTCTTCCTTTCTGTCAGTGGAATTCCTCATCTTCTGTAACACGCCCTAAAGATTTCGAGGCTACTACAGGTACAATTTTTTCTTAGGCTACCTGATTTTTTTATTTTACCTTTTGTTTTGTATCTAATATATTTCCCCCCTTCGTCACTGTGATGTTATTGAATAAAACACATAATTTGTATATCTGCACACTTGTCTGTCTATTGCTTTACCCTACTTTTCCTTCTTATGCGTGCTCTTTTCTTTGGTTGGACTTCAGGACAAATCATTCAAAACCTCCTTTTATGTTATTTCCCTCACGAAATTTCATTTTAAATCTTATAATCTAGCCAGCATGAACAGCAAGCCTGAAATACGTTTCATGTATTGTAAATCTTAAATCATTTGCTGAAGTTACAAGTGGTTTTAGGTGTCTCCATCTTCTCCCCTGCTTAATATTTTGGTCTCTGGCAGATGGGCACTGTCCAAGATTATTAGAAGCTGCAGAAATTCTGTGTGAAATAGCAACAAACTCTCCAGGACATAACCCATATGAAATCATGAGGTCACAGAAGAAGACTTTACATAAGAACATGAAAGGTAAAAACTTGAAGCCAATTGCAAACCATGAAGAAATGTCTTCAGCACCAACTTCAGTGGTTGGATCCAACCCGATGGCCAGATCTGTTGACGAAATAATTCCTGCAAAAAAGCCACGGGTTTCCACAGTCGAGTACAGGAATGGTGTTCGTTCACATTATGATAAGAAGGGACCCTATTCTTCAAAATCAAGTATGCCATTACCCAGTAAACCGGTTAGGGACTTGATTAAAGAAAACAAGCACTCGACAGCTACCATACTGAAGGAGCTTACTATGATGCACCCAACTAATCGGATTTTGGATAAGGGTAAGGCTTATGTTAGTCAATTCAAGGTTAAAAAATTAGGATTAGTGGATTGGAAACGGGGAAAGGACAAGTGAGATTGATCAAGCCTTATCTCATGTAGAAACATCTATTGCTGTGACAGCTGTTGTGATTACCGAAAGTTAGATTTAGTCATTGGCTGCTTTGTATATTATCCTTATGGCTGCAATCAGATTGTTGCAGAGATTATTTTCAAGGGAAAACTCGTTTCAAATGTTGTAATTAACTGTAGGTGTACAGAAAACATCATTCTTTGTTCAATGTAATGTAGAGCATTTGAGGCAACAGTAGCAAGCAGATTCTCTGTTTTTGCGCGTGCTTATGTAGGATGACTTTATGTAACAGACATGCCATAGCATGCCACTACTGTATTATTTCTCATCATAAGTAATTGCTCAGTGCTGGAGTGACTTACGGTACCGTGGGTAGTCAGTCGGTGCATACTTACTGATTAGAGACGTGATACATGAATGTGACCATAACTTTTAGCTTCGTGTGTTATCTAAAAACCAGTAACATTTTTCTCCTGTAGTTTGCCGGAGTCTCATAATTTGAACTGTTTGTCTATTCATCTTATTAAAGCACAAGCACACAATAATTTGTTTTCTTTTAATAGAAGGATGAATGAAAAGTGGAAATTAATTGCTAGAAACGAGTTGAATTTCTATCAATTTTATCAAAAAGAAAGAAATGAGGAATTGAGAAACTGAACGTTAACAGTTGAATCTGGTTTTCCTTTCATCCTTTATTTATGATCTCTCTCGTGACCAGCATATCAAAACTTGAGAAATATACTACATCTCAAAATATTAACAAAACACGAGGCAGAAAAAGCGTACATAGAATGAGAAAGTGTCACGAAAACATTTGATCGAGGAGTAAGACGAGTGCCATGGCAAAGGCTGGATCAATGCCAGAATGCACAAACAACTGAAAAATCTCTATCCCAAAAGAGACGTTTTTGGTGTTAGCTTCCTTCCTCTTAATTTCAGCCACGACCCTTCTACACTCATCCAACACCTTACACGTACGATTTGCGTAGGAACCATCTACAGTGAACGCCACACACCGTTTATCTGAATGTGAGACTCCACGGAACACGTAGGCCAGAACATTGGAGTTGCCATGTAAAATATTGACATGCTTCCTTACACAACAAATTGGACTCTTTGATGGCTTAGACAATTTACTTCTCCTTCCAATGTTTCCCACTTCCCCTTCATACACAAACCATTCTTCTAACAATCCAAGCCTCTGCACATGCTCAAACATGCATAAACTATTTAATAAACCATCTTCAACAAACAACGAATCAAAAAGAAACAAGAGAAAGTATCTGATACATAAAGAACAATAATTTAAACATACCCTGCGGCGGAACATGGTGAGGATAGATTTTCCCGAGGCATCCATGAGAGTGACTTCGTTGGGTCGACCAATATAATTGTCGACCCGATACACCAAATTCCCACAACAATCGATGACTGTGAATCCTTTGCAACTCATCACCAAGGATTTTCTCCAAACTGTCAGGGACGTGCTCAACTGTTCTGCGTTGTTTTTCTCCTCGTCATGCTCTTGTTCTTGTTCCTGATGAACTGCTCTCGACAGGGATCTGAATCTAGGAAACACCCTCATCTCGTTCTCTCTTCTTTCCCTCTGTTCCGTCCTTTGATCTTTATCAAATTCACTCTCTCTTACTTTCAACCTCGCTAGATAGATTCTCTGCGTCAAGTTTAAAAGGGGCCAAAGGAACACATTTATACCATTACTGTCATAACATTCAGGTAGAAAAGTAACACGGAGAACGTCTTCAAAAAAGATAATAAAAAAATGATTTTTTTGATTTCCAATTCTGCTGCTACCAGTATGGGTGACAACATGACATGTTGACTACCCACCGTTACAAGTTCTCACACTCTTTCATGGCGGAGCGCGTATTATTATATAGGGCCAAGACGTTGACATCTCATTTTTAAACCCAGTTTCTTATTACTTTCTTCTTCTTTTTTCTGACCCTTTTGCCGACATTTTATAGAAATTATCGACTTATACGGAAACAGTACATGTAACATTAAACTAACAGATTTCATCTAGTTTTAAGTTAATTTTTAATTCTGAAAAAGAAAACATCATTAACAGTTGGGAAGAAAGAAAATTATTAAAGATAAGCATGGTGGTGTTGAAAAAGAAAACAAAGATTAGATATTTTCTTTAGTTACGATATTATCAAAAAGTTGAATTTTATAAGTAGAGACCAGAAAGTGAAAAACATGTTACATCTATTTGGTAGTGTTACGATTTTCTATTTTATTGCTTCAAAATCTTGTTTGAAACATGTGAGATTTGTAGAAGATTTTTAAAGCAGTCCTTTCAGAACATGCTATTGAAGTGTTTTGAGAAGAAAAGTATTGACGTTGAAATTGATGAGTTAATAATACTAACACATGTTGNCATTCAGTTATGATCAGAGCCTTGTTCCTTCAACCAGTAGTTCAAGCCATAAAGATTGCCCATCTTTATTTGCTATTCTTCCTTTCTGTCAGTGGAATTCCTCATCTTCTGTAACACGCCCTAAAGATTTCGAGGCTACTACAGGTACAATTTTTTCTTAGGCTACCTGATTTTTTTATTTTACCTTTTGTTTTGTATCTAATATATTTCCCCCCTTCGTCACTGTGATGTTATTGAATAAAACACATAATTTGTATATCTGCACACTTGTCTGTCTATTGCTTTACCCTACTTTTCCTTCTTATGCGTGCTCTTTTCTTTGGTTGGACTTCAGGACAAATCATTCAAAACCTCCTTTTATGTTATTTCCCTCACGAAATTTCATTTTAAATCTTATAATCTAGCCAGCATGAACAGCAAGCCTGAAATACGTTTCATGTATTGTAAATCTTAAATCATTTGCTGAAGTTACAAGTGGTTTTAGGTGTCTCCATCTTCTCCCCTGCTTAATATTTTGGTCTCTGGCAGATGGGCACTGTCCAAGATTATTAGAAGCTGCAGAAATTCTGTGTGAAATGGCAACAAACTCTCCAGGACATAACCCATATGAAATCATGAGGTCACAGAAGAAGACTTTACATAAGAACATGAAAGGTAAAAACTTGAAGCCAATTGCAAACCATGAAGAAATGTCTTCAGCACCAACTTCAGTGGTTGGATCCAACCCGATGGCCAGATCTGTTGACGAAATAATTCCTGCAAAAAAGCCACGGGTTTCCACAGTCGAGTACAGGAATGGTGTTCGTTCACATTATGATAAGAAGGGACCCTATTCTTCAAAATCAAGTATGCCATTACCCAGTAAACCGGTTAGGGACTTGATTAAAGAAAACAAGCACTCGACAGCTACCATACTGAAGGAGCTTACTATGATGCACCCAACTAATCGGATTTTGGATAAGGGTAAGGCTTATGTTAGTCAATTCAAGGTTAAAAAATTAGGATTAGTGGATTGGAAACGGGGAAAGGACAAGTGAGATTGATCAAGCCTTATCTCATGTAGAAACATCTATTGCTGTGACAGCTGTTGTGATTACCGAAAGTTAGATTTAGTCATTGGCTGCTTTGTATATTATCCTTATGGCTGCAATCAGATTGTTGCAGAGGTTATTTTCAAGGGAAAACTCGTTTCAAATGTTGTAATTAACTGTAGGTGTACAGAAAACATCATTCTTTGTTCAGTGTAATGTAGAGCATTTGAGGCAACAGTAGCAAGCAGATTCTCTGTTTTTGCGCGTGCTTATGTAGGATGACTTTATGTAACAGACATGCCATAGCATGCCACTACTGTATTATTTCTCATCATAAGTAATTGCTCAGTGCTGGAGTGACTTACGGTACCGTGGGTAGTCAGTCGGTGCATACTTACTGATTAGAGACGTGATACATGAATGTGACCATAACTTTTAGCTTCGTGTGTTATCTAAAAACCAGTAACATTTTTCTCCTGTAGTTTGCCGGAGTCTCATAATTTGAACTGTTTGTCTATTCATCTTATTAAAGCACAAGCACACAATAATTTGTTTTCTTTTAATAGAAGGATGAATGAAAAGTGGAAATTAATTGCTAGAAACGAGTTGAATTTCTATCAATTTTATCAAAAAGAAAGAAATGAGGAATTGAGAAACTGAACGTTAACAGTTGAATCTGGTTTTCCTTTCATCCTTTATTTATGATCTCTCTCGTGACCAGCATATCAAAACTTGAGAAATATACTACATCTCAAAATATTAACAAAACACGAGGCAGAAAAAGCGTACATAGAATGAGAAAGTGTCACGAAAACATTTGATCGAGGAGTAAGACGAGTGCCATGGCAAAGGCTGGATCAATGCCAGAATGCACAATCAACTGAAAAATCTCTATCCCAAAAGAGACGTTTTTGGTGTTAGCTTCCTTCCTCTTAATTTCAGCCACGACCCTTCTACACTCATCCAACACCTTACACGTACGATTTGCGTAGGAACCTTCTACAGTGAACGCCACACACCGTTTATCTGAATGTGAGACTCCACGGAACACGTAGGCCAGAACATTGGAGTTTCCATGTAAAATATTGACATGCTTCCTCACACAACAAATTGGACTCTTTGATGGCTCAGACAATTTACTTCTCCTTCTAATGTTCCCCACTTCCCCTTCATACACAAACCATTCTTCCAACAATCCAAGCCTCTGCACATGCTCAAACATGCATAAACTATTTAATAAACCATCTTCAACAAACAACGAATCAAAAAGAAACAAGAGAAAGTATTTGATACATAAAGAACAATAATTTAAACATACCCTGCGGCGGAACATGGTGAGGATAGATTTTCCCGAGGCATCCATGAGAGTGACTTCGTTGGGTCGACCAATATAATTGTCGACCCGATACACCAAATTCCCACAACAATCGATGACTGTGAATCCTTTGCAACTCATCACCAAGGATTTTCTCCAAACTGTCAGGGACGTGCTCAACTGTTCTGCGTTGTTTTTCTCCTCGTCATGCTCTTGTTCTTGTTCCTGATGAACTGCTCTCGACAGGGATCTGAATCTAGGAAACACCCTCATCTCGTTCTCTCTTCTTTCCCTCTGTTCCGTCCTTTGATCTTTATCAAATTCACTCTCTCTTACTTTCAACCTCGCTAGATAGATTCTCTGCGTCAAGTTTAAAAGGGGCCAAAGGAACACATTTATACCATTACTGTCATAACATTCAGGTAGAGTAACACGGAGAACGTCTTCAAAAAAGATAATAAAAAAATGATTTTTTTGATTTCCAATTCAGCTGCTACCAGTATGGGTGACAACATGACATGTTGACTACCCACCATTACAAGTTCTCACACTCTTTCATGGCGGAGCGCGTATTATTATATAGGGCCAAGACGTTGACATCTCATTTTTAAACCCAGTTTCTTATTACTTTCTTCTTCTTTTTTCTGACCCTTTTGCCGACATTTTATAGAAATTATCGACTTATACGGAAACAGTACATGTAACATTAAACTAACAGATTTCATCTAGTTTTAAGTTAATTTTTAATTCTGAAAAAGAAAACATCATTAACAGTTGGGAAGAAAGAAAATTATTAAAGATAAGCATGGTGGTGTTGAAAAAGAAAACAAAGATTAGATATTTTCTTTAGTTACGATATTATCAAAAAGTTGAATTTTATAAGTAGAGACCAGAAAGTGAAAAACATGTTACATCTATTTGGTAGTGTTACGATTTTCTATTTTATTGCTTCAAAATCTTGTTTGAAACATGTGAGATTTGTAGAAGATTTTTAAAGCAGTCCTTTCAGAACATGCTATTGAAGTGTTTTGAGAAGAAAAGTATTGACGTTGAAATTGATGAGTTAATAATACTAACACATGTTGAAGAAGGTGACACGTGGCCTAGTTTGGTCTCGAACCATTCCAGAAGCAATCTATTTAGATTCTTTTTCAAGATTTTGGCTTTTTTTCTCAGTTACGTATATACATAGGCATTCTTAAGAAAGTGAGAGAAAAAAAGAAGACAAAAATTAATTCTGGACATTCTTAGATAACACTCATTACTAGAAAGAGTGCTCAAACAAAATTTCTCATTGGTTACGCAAAAAAACAATACTTATTATTGCAAATTGAATAAAATATACAATATAATCTTATTCGTTCTCTTTCAACTAGATATTTCTAATGTTTTCTAGAAAAATATTTCACGTGTATGCTAATAAAATTCAATAAAAAAATTAACAAGTCGAACTTGGGCTTATGAGAATGATCGAAAAGAGATCTATTATCATGATAATCGTTATTTTTATATAAAAATAAATAAAAGAAATAGAACGAGAGGGTTGAGTAAATAGAAGAAGGACAATAATAATGAAGTGGGTAGAACATATGATGAGAAAGTGGAATGGCCTACCAGCCATTAGTGTAGTCTTTCAATTGGTGAAGCAGCTGAAAATTGCTTTTCGTCACATGGTGTGTGCTACAGTTACCTAAATACATAGGACAGTAATTGCTTTGACCAAAAGGCCATAAAAAGCCATAGGGGTTCATACAATTACATACCTAATTTGTTTTTACTTTAATTTGTGTGATTTTGTAAAGTTAAACTAAAAATAAAAATTAGAATAACTTCTTAGAGGAGTTTTGAATCAATTTAATAGTTTGATAATTTAATTATTATAACTAAATTTTGTTATATTTATTTAATTTTTTAAATAATTTCATGATGATATTTAAATTGTTTATACTGTATAATAATGTTTGCTTTAATGTTAAGTTCAAAAATTAAGTAACTAAAAACATAATTAATCTTTAAAAATTTTAAAAATTATTGAAAAACCGATTTTGCTTAAAACCATGACAATCTCCTCTTTTTCCTTAATTGTGTTTGTAATACTTCTTTTAAATATTAGTTATTGGGAGCAGTAGTGATAATGGTTTGAAGGACATAATTAATTGGAAAAATAAAAGAATAATAATACTTTGACAATATTTTTTTGACAATATTTTAACATCATCTACGTTTATTCTGTGATTGGTCCATGTTGGTGTTTATAATTATTATTATTGATTATAGAATAATTTTGGATCAATCATAAAATAACACGTAAATGATGTTAAAATGTTGTCAATAAAATATTATTAAAGTATCATCATCCAAAATAAAATGGATAGATAGTGATAGGAAATGTAATGGTGGGTGGCAGACATGATTATGATTGTGTGCGTTTCTTTGGTCAATGAGTCGAAAGTTGAAACACGGCTTTGGTGTTTTTGTGTGGCTGAAGAGAAGAAGAGAAAGAGCTTTCAAACCGACCCGTGCTGCATTTGGTTACCATTTATTTGGAGTTTTCCTTACGCTTTTATGCCTCACCACTCTTCAAAACCACTCACTCTCTTTCTCATCAAATGCTTTCCAATTTGATCACTTGCTTTTCAACCATCACAATTCAACAAACCCCATATTTTTAGATTCTTTGCTTCTAAAGTTAAACACTGGTATAAAATAACTTCAATATTAATTAATAATTTAACTTATTGGAATACCATCCTCTCAACAGGTATTTCAAATGTCACTAAAATGAATTAGATTTTAATATTATTGTAGATGTTTGTAGAGGTTTTCCATAGGAGGTTCAGTACTGATAAATTATGAACAAAATCATATAAAAAAATAAAATATTATCTCTAACTCAATTTTAAACCAGTAGGGTTATAGATAATTTTACTTATGTATTATACGTCTTATTTGTTTGTAACCAATATAGAATTTCTATCTTATTTAAATTCTTAACCCAATTAGATTGAATTCAAATTTTTCCAATATTCAAAATCTCACATAATCTTACATGTGACAACAAAATTACTCTTGGTTATCATAAAATTAAACATAATATTTGGTCTCTCAAATTATTAATATTCAACATTTCACATCTATTACAAATTAGACGAATTTATAATATATAAAATAAATATAAATCTTATTTTAAAAATTAATTTTTTAAGATTGATTTAATTTTAAAATTAGTTTTTAACAAAATTATTTAAAACTTATCCTAATAAAATTTATTATTTGTTAAATAAATCGAATTATTATGAAATATTATTAATATTTAGTCACACTCATATAATATCTGTCTCGTTAATAATATCTGATGAAAACATCAGATTAACTATAACTAACACAAATTTACAATAATACAAATTTCATATTATAAAATAATTTTATAAAGTTAAATTAAGTTTCAAACTTGCTTCTAAAATGTTTTCACCTTTTGTTATAGGTAAACTAATGTAACCTAATTTACACTATATCATTGCGTTGCAACTAACATAATCATTTCCCACATACATTACTAACAAGAATTTTAAACTTGTAAAATAATTTTTGTGTTCCTCGATTTATTTATTTATTTATATATATATATATATATATATATATATATTTTTTTTTAGACATGAATTTTATTAATATACCCATCTAACTCTCTTCCATAACTTAATTTTTTTCATAAAAGTGTTCATTTTTCAAATTTTTTTATATATATACTTTCATCGATTAGTACTGCATAAGTTTTATTTTCTCTCTTGTGATGAAGCAAACAAGCAAGGCAGGGATGAATGGGAGATTAATGGAACTATATTCAGGTTATTTCATAAAACAGAGATTATTATTTTTCAGATCATGCACGAAGGACGCGT